GCAACGAACGGAGGCACCCGTCGGCCTACGTTCCTGTCCCAGCACGCCAGCTGCAGCGGAGGCCCATACAGCGGTGGCCTGGAGCCTAGCGCCAGGGCGCCAGCTGCAGCAGCAGCAGCCTACTACAGTGGTCAAGGGCCACAGGCCCATGACGGCCTACATCTCAGCGCCAAGGCACCAGCTAGGCAGGGGAGGCCTACACAGCGGCGGCCGAGGGCCGAGGGCCAATCACCAAGAGCGGCAGCTGCAGACTGAGTCCTGCGGTGGCCTATGGCCTATGGTGGTCCACAGGTCCACCCTACGACGGCCTACAGTCCAGCGCCATAGGGCTCCTGGTGTAGCGCGAAGGCCCACGACAGTCTACAGTAGCCCATAGCGCCAGGGCGCCAGCTGTCCTTCACATGTACACAAGATTCACTAAATTGATCAATGAAAAGTAATATTTCTGATTGGGTCTATGGAAAAACATACATGACAACATACATGAATTTAAAAAATGCAAGCTGGTGAAACTGTTTCACATCATTTCCGTCCTGAAGTATACTTAAAACACTTCTAATCAGTCAATAAAACCTGCTAAAACAAGAACTGAACTAACAAACAACCAAACATCAACAAACAAACATCTCTCTATTTCTCATACTCCTTCACTCCGTTTTCGAAGAGACATTGTGCAGTTTCAAGTGACGTCACTGTCCCGCTCTTTAGGTCGATGTTCGAAAAGCTGCGCGATGATTACAACGCCGAAACTTGAGAAAGGGCGAAGCTAGTGAGCACCTTGATGCCGAAGGCGTTATATTTGATCGAATATGTTAAAGTGACACAATAAAATAATGAGGTCAGAAAGTATCAGTTTCGGGAGGGAGGGGGGGGGGTGAGGTCGCGCTTTCTTCGGGACTCATTACCTTGCATTGTCCAGTAAAACAGGTCTTCTTTCCTATGGGGTAAGTACCCCCCTCGCGTTTTTTACCCCATGACAATTAATCCAGGGTATTGCAATTGTCGCATCCGCATCACAACACAGATTCTCGTTCAACGTCTGTGATAAAAAGCCAACGAGACAGCTCGTACACGAAAAATCTGCCATTC